TAGGCATAGCTTCTAAATTATGCTTTATAGCTGTATAAACAGCTTGATTGTATTCATCCTTTTAGAAATTCTTTCCTTTTTTTTTTTTTTTTTTTCCGGTACCAGGGATCAAACTCAGGAGCTTCTGCCTCCAGGCACGGTGCCACTGAGCTAAATCCTCGGCCCAGAAATTGTTTCATTTTAAAATTAATTTACATCAATATTAGCTTGTTGGTGATTATATTATGTTCAGTTAATGGAGATTTAATGTATATTTGAGAAATCGATATTTAAAATTTTGGTCCAGTTTTTTTCTTAATATATAATATTTGACTTTACTGCATCTCACTCAGCCTTAAAATTATATGGTAACATTTTAAGATAATTATTATTAACACTTTCTGAGAACTTTGTGTAGCATAATGTAAAATGTATGGGAAATGTTGGTATTTTTTGTGTATAAAGGCAACAACATCAGCAACCTCATGTTTATATTGCACTTTGGTTGTTGAGATTTTAAAGAAAGATTGTTATGTAAAAATCTAGAAAAATGGAAGAAACTGATGTTACATCTAAGGACCAAAGATGAGAATGGACTTTTTGCTCAATACAGTGAAAATAATTATAAAAACAGACTTCAGCCACTTAGCATGTATGTGAAGAGTGAATTCATGCTGTGAGTTAGAAATGGTCTATCCCATTTCTACTTAAGTTAATGCAGCTCTGTGGGTTCTCTTTTTATATGTTCTCTTGGAGCAAATCTTTTTATAACTCCAGGCTTTGACTTTTCATCTGTCTGTTTTCTGTCTTTTTATCAGAATGGTCCATGTGCTGCATCATCGTCTGGCGAAGATGGGCCTGTGGTTCTTACTTTTTCTCATTGTTTGTTGTCTAAAGGTGGTTCAGAATCTTTAATTGCTACAAGTGTGTAGTAGGAGCTGGGGAGTCCTTGTTCCCATGTGAGTGTTGCTCTAGTTTCTCTCTGGAGGAGACATGTTAAGAAAGTGAATAATGAAAAATCCTTTCCAGATTAATACTGGAGTAGTCAAACAGTTCTTAAGATTTTTGTAAGATACTTTGTAAGCAGTTCTGATAATTTGGAAGAATTGTTTGTTGTTGGCAGGCTGTCAGCCACACCCACAGGGCCCTTAGGATAGGACTCTTCTGCCCAAGTCATATGAGCTAGGCCTTTCTTGTCCTCCTAGATTTTTTTTTTTACTTTTTGGTACTGGGGACTGAACTCAGGACCTTACGCTTGCAAGACAGGTGGTGGCTCCATTGAGCTAAATCCTCAGCTCCCTCCTAGAGTTTTGACCCAGAGCTCCAGTATTAAGATGATTCCATATGTGGAATTCTTCCAGTGATATGTTTTAATAACCTCATTCTTTTTAGTAGTTTCTTATCTGCCATTTATATGTTACAGATGAGTTTAAGTTGCATGAAGTTGGCTAATGTGGGTCTCAGAAATTGGTGAGTGTGGACAGACATCTGATATGTTACTGACTCACTCAGTAGCTTTTCTGTTGTATCAATTTGGATGCTAGTGGTAATGATGATGTCACCACTGCCTACTTGGGAGATATTGAAAGCAATCATGGATGCTGTTTTTCCTGGGCATATCATCTAAGATGGGAGAGTCTTTGATCTAAGAATAAAGACTGATTTGAAGATAACCAATTTGTGGTAGCTAGTTGTAGAATTTCACATCAGACTGCACTATTGTCGTTTTAAATGTGATGTAGACCCATTAGAATTCACAGCAAATCATCTGGGCTACTTCAGGGTTGCCACAAAATACCTGAGATAATCAATTTGAAAAGAGAAAAGATTTATTTTGACTCATAGATTTGGAGGGTTCAGTCAATGGTTGGATGGTCCTATTGCTTTTGGGCCTGTGGTAAAGCAGTGTATCATGGTGGGGAGTGTGTGGTGGATCACAGCTGCCTACCTCGTGGTGGCTGGGAAGCAAAATGGAAAAAGGACTAGAAGAGATTGAGGCCTCACAGTCCTCTTCAAGGATGTGCTCCTGCTGACTACAGGCCTCCTAGTAGTCCCCACCTTTTAACATTTCTACCACCTCTTCATTGTGCCGCTCTGGGGAACAAGCCTTCAACCCATGGGCCTTGGGGACATTCCAGATGGAAACGGTAGCACTGCCCTTGCGTTGGGCCTAGTCAGCATTGACAGACCTTGTTTTGGCTGGCTTCACACATGAAGCATGTTGGAATTGAGCTTAAACACCCTTATTCTGACTCCATTTGTCTCATTGGTGAAGAAATGGGCTTCTTTGTTAACCACTTATTTTTTCCTTTTTAGAAAGATAAATTGTTCAGTTGTACTTTGATCATTTTTATAACTTTCACCTTGTTTCTTAGGGAACCCATGTCTGGTTAGCCTCTTTTATTATGGAAGGAAGTAGGAGTAAAAAGACCATTTTAGCAAATAAT